CACTAATACACAGGAGACTGACCAGTGAAATAGTGTAGAGAGCTGAGTAAATGCTTGCTTGGGGTAGCTGGCTGGGGGTTGTCGAGAGTTACCCTTCTCGGCAGGACTAGCGGCTCGTAGAAATTTATCTCCGAAATCGCTGTAATGTAGAATTACAGGCCCTCCTCTGTCACCAAATTTGTCGTGGGGGTTGAAGAAGGAGATATGATGGTGTTCACTGTGGGATGGTAACGCTATATTTTGTCAGACTGATGGGTAAGGAAGGGCCCAGCCTGCCTTCTTGCTGATGTATGTCTATGCGTGGAGTGAGAGCAAGGTTAGCGGTACCACTCCACTCATGCGCATCCCTTGACGTATACAGTCACTAGGCCTAATAAGGATCTTCTATATAAAGCAACATGGATGGTAACTATAATACTCCAGCTAAGCTATACAACACATTGTTTAAGGGGATCGTAGCTATAATGACAAGAATTCAGGGGAGGAAAATCCTGTGTCAACAACCTACTGGAGTTTTATGAGAAGGTAATGCAGTTAAGACAGGTTGAGAGAGAGGGTTGGGTAAACTGTATTTTCTTTGCCTGCAGGAGAGGCTTCGGCAAAGTTCCTCACAAAAGATTAGTGCAAGTGCTAGGTATCAGGCATGCATTACAGGAAAGGTTACTGCAATGGATCAGAGAATACCTGACCGGGAAAACAACAACTATTCCATGGTATGTGACAACGGTGTCAGTTTAGGCGCCTGTGATGTGAGCGGGGTTCCCACAGGCTATCATTATTAGACAATGCTGTTTTTGGTATATTGTTTTTGTAGAATGACATGACGGAAAGTATAGACTCAGAAGTGTCCGTGTTTGCAGATGATGTGAAACTAATGAAGAGATTTAAATCGGTTGAAAGCCTGGTCCAACAACTGGCTCGCTGAATTTAATCCCGCCAAATGTAAACCCATGAAGATCGGGGAAGGGCAAAGAAGACCGCAGACAGAATATGGGCTAGGTGGCCAAAGACTGCAAATCTCACTCAAGGAAAAAGGAGGAATTGACAAGTTGGACAGAGACAAGATGTTCCAGAGATGGGACAGCAACAAGGGGACACAATTGGAAGTTGAAGACTCTGATGAATCACAGCGATGTTTGGGAAATATTTCTTCAATTGCAGAGTTGTCAGGAAGTGGAATAATCTGGGAAGTGATGTAGTGGAGGCAGGATCAATACATAGCATTAAAAAGAGGTATGACAAAGCTCATGGAGGAGGAAGAGTGACCTAGTAGCAGCCAGGAGCTACATTTCGACCCCTGCAACCACAACTAGGTGAGTACAACACACACACACACACATGCATGTGTCTGGTCAGTACCGTCTACAGGATGTCTAAAAAAGAACGTTCAGAAAAAGAGGATACGAAATACATCACAAAACGAACTGTATCAAATACCGATGAAGTGACAACCAACAGCGTAGCTTCAGTTATTTACCATCTGTTATTTAACCAGCTGCCACCCCCAGGGGTGGTCCCATCAGAGCTGGTCCAGGGTAGCCCTGGAGGTTAGAGGATGGAGGGCTGCCCCCCGGGTGGTCCCATCGCAGCTGGTCCAGGGTTAGCCCTGGAGGTGAGTGTAGAGGATGGAGGGGCTGCACCCCCAGGGTGGTCCCATCCAGCAGCTGGTCCAGGGTAGCCCTGGAGGTAGAGGATGGAGGGCTGCACCCCCAGGGTGGTCCCATCCAGCAGCTGGTCCAGGGTAGCCCTGGAGGTAGAGGATGGAGGGCTGCACCCCCAGGGTGGTCCCATCCAGCAGCTGGTCCAGGGTAGCCCTGGTAGTAGAGGATGGAGGGCTGCACCCCCAGGGTGGTCCCATGCAGCAGCTGGTCCAGGGTAGCCCTGGTATAGGGGATGGGAGGACTGCACCACCAGGGTGGTTCCCATCCAGGCAGCTGGTCCAGGGTAGCCCTAGTAGTTAGGAGGATGGAGGACTGCACCCCCAGGGTGGTCCCATCCAGCAGCTGGTGCGTCCAGGGTAGCCCTGGAGTAGAGGATGGAAGGGCTGCACCCCCAGGGTGGTCCATCCAGCAGCTGGTCAGGGTTGCCCTGGACGGTAGAGGATGGAGGGCTGCACCCCAGGGGTCCCATCCAGGCAGCTGGTCCAGGGTAGCCCCTGGAGGTAGAGGATGGAGGGCTGCACCCCCAGGGTGGTCCCATCCAGCAGCTGGTCCAGGGTAGCCCTGGAGGTAGAGGTTGGAGGGCTGCACCCCAGGGTGGTCCCCATGCAGCAGTGGTCCTGGTAGCCCTGGTGGTAGAGGATGGAGGGCCTGCACCCCCAGGTGTAGGTCCTCCCATCCAGCAGTGGTCCAGGTAGCCCTGGAGGTAGAGGATGGATGGGCATGCACCCCCAGGGTGGTCCCATCCAGCAGCTGGTCTCCAGGGTAGACCTGGAGGGTAGAGGATTGGAGGCTCACCCACAGAGTGGTCCCATGCAGCAGCTGGGTCCAGGGGTTTAGCCCTGGAGGTAGAGGATGGAGGGCTGCCACCCCCAGGGTTGGTCCCATCCAGCAGCATGTGGTCCAGGGTTTAGCCATGGTGGTTAGAGGATGATGAGGGCTGCACCCCCAGGGTTGTTCCCATCCAGCAGTGGTCCAGGGTTAGCCCTGGTAGATAGAGGGATGGGAGGGCTGCACCCCAGGGTCGGTCCCATGCAGCAGCTTGTCCAGGGTTAGCCCTGGAAGTAGGAGGATGGAGGGCTGCACCCCCAGGGGGTGGTCCCATCCAGCAGCTGGTCCAGGGTAGCCCTGGAGGTAGAGGATGGAGGGCTGCACCCCCAGGGTGGTCCCATGCAGCAGCTGGTCCAGGGTAGCCCTGGAGGTAGAGGATGGAGGGCTGCACCCAGGGTCGGGTCCCATCCAGCAGCTGGTCCAGGGTAAGCCCTGGAGGTAGAGGATGGTGGGTGCACCCCAGGGTGGTCCCATCCAGCAGCTGTGGAGGGTTGCCCTGGTGGTAGAGGCTGGGGAGGGATGACCCAAGGGTTGGTCCCATCCAGATTGGTCCAGGTAGCCATGGAGGTAGAGGAGGAGGGCTGCAACCCCCCCATACAAAGGTGGTCCATCCAGCAGCTGGTCCAGGGTAGCCCTGGTGGTAGAGGATGGAGGGCTGCACCCCCAGGGTGGTCCCATCCAGCAGCTGGTCCAGGGTAGCCCTGGAGGTAGAGGATGGAGGGCTGCACCCCCAGGGTGGTCCCATCCAGCAGCTGGTCCAGGGTAGCCCTGGAGGTAGAGGATGGGAGGGCTGCACCCCCGGGTTATGTCCCATCCAGCACTGTCCAGGTAGCCCTGGTGTTAGAGGGTATGGTAGAGGCTGCACCCACAGGGTGGTCCCATCCAGCAGCTGGTCCAGGGTATAGCCCTGGCAGGTAGAGGATGGAGGGCTGCACCCCCAGGGTAGCTGGGTTCCCATCCAGCAGCTGTGGTCCAGGTTTTTATAGCCTGGAGGTAGAGGATGGAGGGCTGCACCCCCAGGGTGGTCCCATCCAGCAGCGGTCCGGGATAGCCTGGAGGTTAGAGGATGGAGGGCTGCACCCCCAGGGTGGGTCCCATGCAGCAAGCTGGTCCAGGTAGCCTGGAGGTAGAGGATGGAGGGCGCACCCCAGGGTGGTCCATCAAGCAGTGGTCCAGGGTCAGCCCCTGGGTTAGGGTATGGAGGGCTGCACCCCCAGGGTGTGGTCCATCCAGCAGTTGGTCCAGGGTAGCCCTGGGAGGTAGAGGATGGAGGCTGCACCCACAGAGTGGTCCATGCAGCAGGTGGTCCAGGGTATGCTGGATGGGTAGTGGATGGAGGGCTGCCACCCCCAGGGTGGTCCCATCCAGCAGATGGTAGGGGTGCCCGGTGGTAGAGGATGAGGGATTTTTTTTATTTGCACCCCAGGGTGGTTCCCATCCAGCGCTGGTCCAGGGTAGCCCTGTAGTAGAGGATGGTGGGCCCTGCACCCCCAGGGTGGGTCCCATGCAGAGGGTCCAGGGTAGCCCTGGAAGTAGAGGATGGGGGCTGCGACCCCCAGGGTGTCCCATCCAGCAGCTGGTCCAGGGTGCCTGGAGGTAGAGGTTGGAGGGCTGCACCCCCAGGGTGGTCCCATGCAGCAGCTGGTCCAGGGTAGCCCTGGAGGTAGAGGATGGAGGGCTGCACCCCCAGGGTGGTCCCATCCAGCAGCTGGTCCAGGGGTAGCCCTGGAGGTAGAGGATGGAGGGCCTGCACACCCAGGTTCCGGTTCCCATCCAGCACGGCTGGTGCAGGGTAGCCCTGGGTGGGTTAGAGGATGGAGGGCTGCACCCCCCAGGGTGGTCCCATCCAGCAGCTGGGTCCAGGGTAGCCCTGGAGGTAGAGGATGGAGGGCTGCACCCCCAGAAGGTGGTCCCATCCAGCAGTGGTCCAGGGGTACCCTGGTGGTAGAGGTTGGAGGGCCTGCACCTCACAGGGGTGGTCCCATCAGCAGCTGGTTCCAGGGTAGCCCTGGAGGCTAGAGGTGGAGCTGCCACCCCCAGGGTGGGTCCCATCCAGCAGCTGGTCCAGGGGTTATAGCCCTGGATGGTTTTAGAGGATGGAGGCTGCACCCCCATGGGTGGTCCCATCCAGCAGCTGGTCCAGGGTAGCCTGGTGGTATAGAGGATTGGAGGGGCTGCATCCCCCAGGGTTGGTCCCATACAGAAGTGGTCCAGGGTAGCCCTGGGAGGGTAGAGGATGGAGGGCTCACCCCCAGGGTGGTCCCATCCAGCAGCTGGTCCAGGGTAGCCTGGAGGTAAGAGGATGGAGGGCATGCACCCCAGGGAGGTCCCATGCAGCAGCTGGTCCAGGTAGCCCTGGTGGTAGAGGATGGAGCTGGCCCTTGCACCCCCAGGGTGTCCCATCCAGCAGCTGGTCCAGGGTTAGCCCTAGAGTGGTAGAGGATGGAGGGCTGCAACCCCAGGGTTGGTCCATGCAGCAGTCTGGTCCAGGGTAGCCCTGGAGGTTGGAGGATGGAGGGCTGCACCCCAGGGATGAGTCCCATCCAGCAGGTGGTCCAGGGTAGCCCTGGAGAGGTAGAGGAGGGAGGGCTGCACCCCCAGGGTGGGTCCAATCCAGCCCAGCCTGGTCCAGGGTTTTAGCCCTGGAGGTAGAGGGATGGAGGGGTCGGCACCCCCGGGTGGTCCCATCAGCAGCTGGTCCAGGGTTGAGCCCTAGAGGTTAGGGATGGAGGGCTGCCACCCCCAGGGTGGTCCCATCCAGCAGCTAGTCCAGGGTAGCCCTGGAGGTAGAGGATGGAGGGCTGCAACCCCCAGGGTGTCACATCCAGCAGTGGTCACCAGGGTAGCCCTGGAGGTAGAGGATGGAGGGCTGCACCCCCAGGGTGGTCCCATTCCAGGTGGACAGTGGTGCCCTGGAAGTTAGAGGATGGGAGGGCTGCACCCCAGGGTGGTCCCATCAGCAGGCTGGTCCAGGGTAGCCTCGGAGGGTAGAGGATGGAGGGCTGCACCCCCAGGGTGGTCCAATCCAGGCAGCTGGTCCAGGGTAAGCCCATGGAGGTAGAGGATGGAGGGCTGCAACCCCCAGGGTGGTCCCATCCAGCAGCTGGTCCAGGGTAGCCCTGGTAGTAGAGGATGGAGAGGCCTGCACCCACATCCATCAATCTTGGGCCTTCTCCATGTTTTGGGACCCCCATGTGGCTCCAGGTTTTCCCAGTCGATCTCCTGTGGTTGAAATCGCACATTACCAGTAACTTTGGCTCTGCTCGAGTCAGTGAGCTCTTCTTGCCACCTCAGCCAGTGTGGTTCCACCATCCACTGTTGTTTTCTTCGTATCTTTCTCTTGGCCTCCTTGCAGTTCTGTGGTGGGTTATAACATCACTCCAATGATACTTTATGTTCTCCGGACTAAATTTTACCTACAATTGTAGTCTCTTTCTCCAATCATGTCCTATGCTTTCCACTTTCCTCAAATCCCCATCGGTTGTTTTATGAGCAGTGCACAACCCCTCCTCCCTCTACTCCTTCTATCTTTCCTCAGGATTCTGATATCCTGTTGGGAGATTGTGTTGTTATTGTCTCGCGAGTTTTGTTTTCTGTGATGCTATGATGTCTGGGGATTTTTTCACTGATTCTTTCTTCCACTCCTCATGTTTATCATTATTCCATTCCGCGTTTGTGTGTGTGTGTGTGCTGTGTGTGTGTGTTGTGCGTGGGGGTGTGTGTGTGAGGCATGTGATGTGTGTGTGTGGGCGTGTGTGTGTGCGTGTGTGTGTGTGTGGTGTGTGTGTGTGGTGTGTTGTGTGTGTGTGTGTGCTGTGTGTGTGTGTGTGTGTGTGTGTGTACTCACCTATTTGTACTCACCTATTTGTGGTTGCAGGGGGTGAGTCACAGCTCCCTGGCCCCGCCTCTTCGACTGATTGCATACTAGGGTCCTCTCTCTCCCTGCCCATGTGCTCTATCATACCTCGCCTTAAACTATGTTATGGTTCCTGCCTCCCCACATCACTTTCTAGGCTATATTCCATGTCATGACTACTCTATGACTGAGAAATACTTCCCTAACATCCCTTATGTATTCCTCTGTGTCTTCAACTTCCAATTGTGGACCTCTGTGTCTGTTTTTGCCCCCCCCCCCCCCCCCCCCCCCCCCCCCCCCCCCCCCCCCCCCCCCTTCCCATCTCTGGAACATCCGTCTTTGTCCACTTCGTCTATTCCGTGCAGTATTTTATTTGTCGTTATCATGTCTCCCCTGACCCTCCTGGCTCCAGTGTCGTCAGGCGATTTCCCTCAACCTTCTTCATAGGACAATCCCCGTAGCTCGGGGACTAGTCTTGTTGCACAACCTTGCACTTTTCTCTAATTTCTTGAAACCCGTGCTTGACTAGGGTGTGGATTCCAGAAACTGGTGCTGCAACATACTCCAGTATGGGACCTGACGTGATGGTGTACTGAGTCTTAAAACGAATCCTTACTGAGGTATCGGAAACGCTATCCGTAGGTAGGTTTGCCAGGCCCCGCCCGTATGCTGCAGCAGTTATCGGATTGATGTGCACCTCAGGAGATATGCGCGGTGTTTTTATACATTACCCCCAGATTCTTTTTCCTTTAGTGAGGTTTGCAGTCTTTGGCCATCTAAACTATAATTGTGTCTGCGGTCTTCTTTGCCCTTCCCCATCTATCATGACTATGCTTTGGCAGGGTTAAATTCAAGGAGCCAGTTGTTGGTGACCAGGCTTGTAGCCTGTCCAGATATCTTTGTTAGTCTCCTGCCTATCCTCTTCCGATTCGATTCTTTCTCATAACTCTCACATCGTCTGCAAACAAGGGACACTTCTGAGTCTATCCCTTCCGTTATGTCGTTCAAGTATACAGAAACAGCACAGGGTCCTAGGATTGACCCTGTGGAACCCCGCTTGTTCAGGCGCCCAACCCCTTTGAACCCTTCGTCGCGTACCATGACTCGTTGTTTCCTCCCTGTCAGATATTCTCTGATCCATTGCAGTGCCTTTCCTGTTAAGTGTGCCTGGGTCCTCTAGCTATTTGCAGTAATCACTGGTGAGTAACTGTGTCGAAAGCCTTCCTTGCAGTCCAAAAATACGCAGTCGATCCACCCCTCCTCTCTCTTGTCTTACTTCTGTCTCACTTGTCATAAAAACCTCTAGTAGGTTTGTGACACGGATTTTTCTTTCCCTGAAACGTGCTGGTTGTCAATTATACACTTGTTTCTTTCCAGGTGCCCCACCACTCTCCCTCCGATGATCTTCTCCATGGATGACCTTGCATACTTTCACGTTAGGGATAAGTCTGTAGATTAGTGCCCTCATGGGGTCTGTCTCCCTTTTTATAATTGGGACTACGTTTGCCATTTTCCATACCTCAGGGAGTTGCCCAGTTTCAAATGATGTGTTGAAGATTTTTTTTTTGTTAATGCTCTCCTCATATCTCTGGCTCCCTCTTTAAGGACCATGGAGAGATGTTTGTCTCTGGTCCCACCGCCATTGAGTGGTCAAGTTCGCCATAGCAGCTTCTTCACCTCCTCCTTGGTTATATGTACCTTCATCCAGCAATTGTCTGGGTGTTGCCCCCCGGTTCTGATTTCTTGGAGTCTACTGGTTTCCATGTAAATACCTCTTTAAATCTTGTGTTGATGCTCCTACATACCTCTCGGTGTTTTCTTGTGAATCCCCCATCACCTTCCTCAGTCTGATTACCTGGTCCTTGACTGTTGTTTTCCTCCTGATGTGGCTGTTCAACAGACTTCGGGTCCAGTCTTTACTTTTGATGCTATGTCATTTTCATATTGTCTCTGAGCCTCCCTTCTTATGTGTGTGTGTGTGTGTGTGTAGTGGGTGTGCGTGAGTGTGTGTGTGTGTGTGTGTTGTGTGTGTGTGTGTGTTGTGTGTGATGTGTGGTGCAATGTATGTGCGTGTGTGTGTGTGCATGTAGGTGTGTGTGTGTTGTTTGTTGTGTGTGTGTGTGTGTGTGTGTGTGTGCGTGTGTGTATGCTGCCATGTGTGTGTTTGTGTGTGTGTGAGTGTGTGTTGTGTGTGTTTGTACCTCACCTAATTGTACTCACCTAATTGTGGCCTGCAGGGGTCGAGAACTCACCTTCTGGCCCTGCCTCTTCACTTGATTGTACATGGTCCTCTCTCTGCTTTCTGAGCTTTATTCATACCTGTGCTTAAAAATATGTATGGTTCCTGCCTCCACTTGCTAGGCTATTCCACGTCCTGACGACTCTATGGACTGAAGAAATACATCCTAACGTCCCTGTGACTTCGTTTGAGGTCTTTCGCTTCCAGTTGTGGCCCCTTGTTTCTGTAGTCCCCTCTCTGGAAACATCCTACTCTGTCACTTGTCTATTCCCTGCAGTATCTTTATGTCTCATCATGATCTCCCTGACCCTTCTGTCCTCCAATGTCCATCAGTCTTGATTTCCATCAACTTTCCTCGCAGACATTTCCCCTGAAGCTCTGGGACTAGCCTTGTTGCAAACCTTTGTACTTCTCTAATTCTTGACGTGCTTGACCAGGTGTGGGGTTACAGACTGGTGCTGTATACTCCAGTATGGGCCCTTCCTAAACATACACAGTGTTACAGTTGTCTTCTTGGGAACGATTCCTTATTAAAGGTATAGAATGCTATTCTCAGGTTTGCCAGGCGCCCGTATGCTGCGCGGTTTATTTGGTTTATGTGTGCCTCCGGTGACGTGCTCCTGTGTTTGGTCACCCCGAGGTCTTTTCTCCCTGAGAGAGGTCTGTGTCTTTGTCTCACCTAGCTATGTACTCTGTCTGCAGTTTCTTTGCCCCTCCCCAATTCTCATGACTTTGCATTTGGCAGGATTGAATTCGAAGAAGCCAGTTTCTGGGCACATCGTCAGGCTGTCCAGGTCTCTTTGCAGTCCTGCTCTCATCATCGATTTTAATTCTTCTCATCAACTTCACATCACCTGCGAATAGGGGACACTACAGAGTCTATTCCCTCCATATGTCGTTCGGATATATCAAAAATAGCATGGTCCTAGAACTGACCCCTGGGGACCCCGCCGTCACAGGCGCCCACTGTTGATATCTCTTCACGTACCATGACTCGTTGCTTGCTCCTGTAGGTATTCCCTGATTCCCTTGCAGTGACCCCTTCCCTGTTATATGCGCCTGATCCTCCAGCTTCTGCACTAATCTCTTGTGGGGAACTGTGTTCAAAGGCCTCCTGCAGTCTAGGGCGAAAACACAATCAACCCACCCCTCTCTCTCGTTTGTCTTACTTCTGTTACCTTGTCATAAACCTCCAGGAGGTTTGTGATACAAGATTTGCCTTCCATGAACCCATGCTGGTTTTCATTTATATCTTGTTCCTTTCCAGGTGTTCCACATCTCTCCTCCTGAAAATCTTCTCCATGACTTTGCACACAATACATGTTTAGAGACACAGGTCTGTAGTTTAGCACCTCGTTTCTGTTTCCTTTCTTAAATATTGGGGACTACATTTGCTGTTCTTCCATTTCTCAGGTAGTTGCCCAGTTTCAAGGGATGTGTTGAAGATTGTGGTTAGAGGCATGCACAGCATCTCTGCTCCTTCTCTAAAGACCCATGGGAGAGTGTC